AAAGCAGCATTACGTAGCATTCTTATTAACTGACCACTAAGTTTTGTAGTCCGCGTGAAGCCATTGCTATAGTTGAGTACATAGAATCATATTCTACTCTCTGGAGCGTTATCACAGTGTTTTGTTTTAATTGCTGACTTTTATCTTTTGAATGAAAGCTATAATGTCCGCTTGCTTAGATATACATGTACCATACTGGTCAGCGTGGAGCTGGCAGGGGCATTCGGTTGAGTTTGAGAGCCGGAAACGATTATACCCTTTTCTCTCACAGTGTCCTACCCCACTGACTCGGCAGTCTAAAGGGGTCCTAATTAGCTTTTAAGGAACGTGAAAAAGCATTGGTTATCCAGATAAATAAGGTCGATTGGAAAACTCCCGACAATCGGCAATGTCACTGTTTCCCGTCCGCCTTAGATTTTTCCTATATATCGGGATATCGACAGATGTCTTTCCCAGATTTTTCTACACACTATTTTTTATTCAAAACTCAGGGGTACTATAATAAGCAACTAGCGCAAGGACCGGTAGGCCGGAGCCACAACTACTGATTTGTATCTTAGATGCCGCAGACGGTGAAAATCATTTTAGAATGTATTTTTGTATCGTGAATCGTCATCGCCCGTCATCGCCGAAATCTTCAACGTCCTAGGAAGCTAGTAATATTCTTGACTTTCCTAATTTGTCGCTGCTGGCCACCCCAGATAGTCTTGGGATCTCTACAATTTTTAGTTTTTATTTGCCATAAAAGTTTGGCACTGTGGGGGAACAGTCAAATCACTGATTGTCCAAGGATTTTCCCGTCAATGTGAAAACCAGGCTTAAAGCTTCATCTGGCCATGTTTACTTTGCTGTAGGTGTGGAGGCCTTTAAGTTTCTCAATACTCCATCCCAAGTGTTAAGTGGATTCCTGGGTATGAATATTGATATTAACTGTTCAACGAATGATCCATATGCAACAGTTCAACTTTTCCACTCAAAAGACTTTGCAACATATACTGAAAGGACTTTGTGTCCTGAGAAACTTCACCTGAACAAACAAGTTTTTACACTGTTGAACCTTGATGTAAAGGATGCTGGACAATATAACTGTAAAGCAACAGATAGACAACAAACCATTGAATGGCCAAGCTCTCATGGATTGCTCTTCCTTTCTCAAGGTAGGTGAAACACAAATACATGCACAATACATGTTATGTTATGTATTTTTTTGCAATTCTAAACTTAGCAGTATCCATCAGAAACTTAAGTGCAGAGTTCATTTGTGTTTCACCATATATTCTCTTAGATGAGCATTTATTCTCTTAGATCTAATTCGTCATTTTTTTTTGAGCGTCCCAAGGGGCGCATGTTATCTACATTAGGAACCCGCTCATTTTATTCTGCTCCCCCTATACTATGGAATAGCCTTCCAACAAATATCCGAGAAATAACATCATTAAGTATTTTTAGGAAGAAACTTAAGACAGATCTTTTTACCTTAGCTTACGACAACTAATTCTCAGCAACGACATATTACCAAGGGGTGGGGGTATCAATTGTGTATTTTACATTAAGTTTTAGAGATATATCTTATATTCATGTAAAGCTCTTTTGATAATTTTTATGTTAAAGGGCGCTATATTAAGTTAATAATAATAATAATTGATCAGCAGGGATTTGCTAAAGCAAAGGCATAGAAAAAACCAGGAAAGATTTATTACTCGACGTTTCGGGGTCATCGTGACTCCATTATCAAGAGACTAGTTTAAAAACATGCAAATAAGGAAAGGTACAAGAATAGCATAAATTAGACTGAACGGCTTAAACAAACACCTTGGCGCGGATGGAATCCGTTTGCACGTTCAGTGTTGGCTTACGCATGCGAATATACAACATTTCATTAACAAGGCAATCAAATTTGCCGTTACATTTCGTGATGACGTTGAATTGCTCGATCAAGCGTTCAGGCATTTCACTATTGTGCTGGAGGTGGTAGTGTTTGTAGATAGAAGATGATTTCCTTGTGTGCCCTTCTACGCGCTCGTGTAAGTGACCACGAGTATAGCCCACATACCCTGCATCACACAGGTTACATTTAAATTCATAAACGACACATTGTTGGTTAACAATAGGGGGCTTAATTTCGTGTTGCTTAAGCTGTTGATCGAGCTTAGGGCTAACGAACACTGGTTGGACAGTCACGCTTAACTTCGAGCTTAGACTGTTCAGTTGTTGTTTAACATGATTAGCTGACGACTGGTCCTTGAAGGGTAACACTAATCTCACAGTCTCCGATGGTACGTCTGGTGATGGACAGGGTTCTGCAGATGAAATCCTTCTCTCAACGAACCGCTTGATTGTAGTTTCAACCAGTGGCTTTGGGTATTTCAAGTTATGAAAAACCCCTCTAAGGCGGTCACATTCCTCGGAGAAGAAAGACCAGTTAGAAGATAATCGATAAGCGCGATCCACCATGGTGTTAACTAGGCTGCGCTTGTACTTAATGTCAACATGACTCTGGAAATGCAGAAGGAGACCCGTGTTGGTTCTTTTGATGTAGACCTTACTCTCAATCTTTGGTGCACGGTTAAGCAGTTCAATTCCTNGTCACATGTCAAACTGTTGGTTGGTCAGTCAGCAAACTGCTTTGGAAAAAGCGAAGTAACTCTGGTGACCAAACTGTTCCAGACAGCAAAGTTGTACATGTTATAGATAAAACTGAAAACATGGTAAAGGCAGTGCTTACTATCACTAATGCTCAAACTCAAGATAGCGGTGAATATAAATGTGTGCTGACGGCTTTCAGCAAACAGGATTATAAGATTGCCAATATACGTGTGGATGGTAATCTGTGAACTATTTTTTATAATGCAGCATTACGTAGCATTCTTATTAAGCTAGTGAACTGTGTAGTCCGCGTGAAGCCATTGCTATAGTTGAGAATTAACACAGAATTATATTCTGCTATCTAGAGTTTTATCAAAGCTTTATGTTTTGACGGCTAACTTTTCTCTTTCAAAGAAAAGCCGTAATGTCTGCTCGGTTAGATGTACATGTAGCATGCTGGTAAGCATGGAGTTGGCAGGGGCATTTTGCTGACTTTGGGAGAGAGTTTTTTCTCTCACAGTTTCCTACTCCACTCAGCTGTCTAAAGGGTCCTAATTAGCTTTTAAGGAACCTGAAAAAGTATCCGGCTATCCACATATTGAGGTTGATTGGAAAATTCCCGACAATCGGCAATGTCACTGTTTCCCGTCCGCCTCAGATTTTACCAATATATCGGGAGAACGACAGATGTCTTTCCCAGATTATTTTAAATGCCATGTTTTATTCAAAACCTTGACTTAGGGGCAATGTACTAAGAAACTAGTTAGAGGACCGGTAGGCCAGAGCAACAACTACTGGTTTGTATCACATGATGTCGCAGACGGTGAAAATAGAGAGAGTAAGTTTCTAGAGAAACTGTGATGCTGCCTCGGTGGAGGTAACACTGTAATTTGAACTAAGTTGAAATTGTAAATTGGCTACCGTAAAGAGTTAAAAAGCTGATGTTTCGATCGTTAGCCCTTAGTCAGAGAGAATGGAGAAATTGTGGGTTGTGTGTGTGTGTTTCTATGCAGAAAGTGAAGCAACGCTGTTGGTGGGAACATGGTGATGAGAAAAACAAAATGATAAATTAGTAGAATGAATGATTAAGAGTGCCGATTTGAACGGATAAACTTTTTTTCAAGAGTTTTGCGGCTTTCCGAGCTACCTAGATGTAAGGAATGACCGCAGACTGCCTGAAATGCTTTTTACAATGACAAGGTAGATTAAAGACTTTAGCGACTGGTTTTGACGTGTCCGTGTCATTTCATTCTAAGTCGCGAAGGTGTTAACTCGGAATCGGTCACCTAATCGTGTTCCTGTTTCGCCGATGTATATCTTTTTGCAATAAGTGAAAGTCGTGCAATAGATGACATTGGCAGAGGTGCACGTGGAGCGATCAGTAATCTTAATGGACTCGCGTGAATTAAGGAATGGCTCAAAAACGAGATCGTGACCCCCAGCGAGGCCTCATAGTTAAGTATTTGTAATTGCTAACTTTATTAATAA